CCCCCCCCCCCACACACACACACCTATATCGGTTTAGAAACGGGTATGATAGGCACTCAAGGTTGTACATCATGATAAGAACTGATAACCGTGAAGAGTTAGTGGTCGAGAGATTGGTATGAGCGGCGGTCATCTGACCAACCGGTGATAGTGGTCAAATGCCCATTCACTCTCAATGAACTGGAAAGGACAAAGACGTCCATGTAGGTCATAAAACGACATTCTCAACCATAGCACATTGGAAGAGGTTTACTGAGAACGAGAAATACAGAATTGCTGCCTTTTGTGAAATTACTTTCAGCACACGTGAGATAGCCCGGTGGTGTAATAGGCCCAAATCCAATGATACGTGAGGTGTGAGTAATTAAAAACCAGTCAGAAATGGATTGGACACCGGAAAAAGCTCTCGGAGNGGTTGATGCGTGACATCAAATTCCTTGGGTCTGAACTTGGAAATGACAACACTTGAGTTGAACGTTCCAGTGTGAACGATACAGCAATCAATCAAAACGGCCCCCGGGATGAAATACACGATGACAATGAGCGTAGCTTAAACAAACTTGCACCCACAAAAATGTTTATTGTGGGTTGAAACTCGTGTAACTTGGAAGAACGAATGGAATTTTAGCGATGAGAGGACGTTTGATTTGTAAGAAACGGACAAGTGGACCTACTACTGGCATGATTTGAGGAAACAAAAGTGATACTTGATTAGGCAGACTCACGGCAGGAACTGTGTTGTTATGGGTGCCTTCCGAGCAACAACACAATTGAACTCGTTATACTGCTCGGAGAGCAACATTCTTAGGCACCTTTTTGCACATTGAACCGATACCTTATGCCAACAACGGTAGAAAATGCTCACAGAGAAATTGTTTTCCAGTTTGATAGAGCCACGAATCATAACTCGTATCCAGCAAAGTGGTGATTATTATTTCGAGACATCAAAACAACGGCGTGGCCTGCTTCCAGTCCATATAGCAATAATTTGGGTTATACTTATCCGAAAGGTGCATTAAGATACGAGAATGTTCACCACAAAACATGCACTATTGGCTTCCTTGATGATAGAACGGAACAATATCGACGGTGATATTATCACGAGCCCCTTACAGATTATACTGGAGAGCTGTGTAGATGTTTTAATAAAGATTGGTCAGTACACCCGGTATTAGACGGGTTTCAAAAGGCAACGTCTATGGGGGTGCAATAAGTACATTACGGTAAAGTGTTGTTTTCTGTAAATGTATTTTCACCGAGTCACCGAGTCTAGATCCTCAAACAGAGAGACGTTCGTGCATTTGAGAGGCGATTATTATCCAAAATTCTCGTACAGAGAGCATGCAATACTTTTTTCACAGGGTGTACACAGGCGAACACTAGCACAATCACATTACCGGATCACGACTTCTTTTCGTTTCGTTGTAGAACTGGAGAGATTGGATCGGAGCGATGTAGGAAGTGTAAGAACAGGGTATACTGATCCCGTCATCTGCGGTAGTGGTGTTTGGAAAACAGAAAAGAACAGTGAAAACTCCAAAGTAAAATGGAATAAGATAAGGACCAGACAAGAAGAATGACTTCAACGCACAATATATCGAAACCAAATACAGCACGAACTGAGATCGCGAATGCTAGTTTGCACACAACAGCCACCAAATGATGGGGAAAGAGAACTACACGCTGTGCGTCATACCCAAGTGATGCTATTACTTTTCTACAGACACGGTAAATTGCGCGTATAAATGCTTTCTGATTTACTGTACCACGATTCTTATGCAAAAAGAAAAGCAATCACAAAGTCTGTCGTGGTTAGCGAACACTCTGTGGTAAAATATTCTTGTTTGGTGGCACTGAATCAAATCGTACAGTTTATTTCACACACACACGTATTTCACCAGTACATAACACCCTCAAATGACCGTACCACATGAACACTTGGCATCGAACATCACAGTGAATCACAAAATCTGATATTTTTTTACGGTGAGTTAACAGTAAATCCAGAGATACCTCCTGCGAATATGGTCTACCACAATATCGAAGGGGTGAAGGTAAAGAAAAAATGTTACAAGTGGCCAGCTTTCATACAGGTGACTGTTTCTGTCCAACGCAGAAAAGCAATTCCGTTAGCGAAAGGTACAGAGACGAACTTTAGACGGCTAGTGTGATGATCACGCGTGACTTGGGTTACTAGATCGAAAGTTTTGTCTCGTCTCAGGCGGTAAGCGATCAACTTTGAACAAGCGAAAGAGCGGCGTCTGGAACACCATAACAAGTGCCAAGTGCGACTACGTCAGAGCGCAGCTTGACCCAGGCACATGGATTGCAGAACTCGAAGTTCGACGGCGCTGCTCGAACATTGACAAGCTTTTGAAAATGCTATAACGCCGGGACCTTTAGTGGTTTGGCCATGTGCTCCGAAGGCCCGATACTCAACTCTCGTGGAAGGCTGTAGCCCCCGCACTGTGCCGTGGATGGCGTTGCCAACTCGGTGATCAACTTAAGAAGTGGAGCTGTGCGATCAAGGCGGACTTGGAATTACTGGGCCTCCAATCCGTATATGGAATTCGTCACTAGAACCAGAATTGGGTATCACACTGCGCCAACCTTGTCGCTGATCATTGAAGACATCCAAAAAGCCGACTTCTCCACCCATAGGAATTAATTGCACGCAAGTAAAAAAAAAAGCAATTAAGCGGCTTCAGTATGCTCACAGTGACAGAATGATCCCGGACTCGAACTAATCGTTCAACTTTGAGTGAAAAAGCTGCGTCCTTAACTAGTTTCTCGTATAGAGAGTGATCACTCAAGAGAACTATATAGGTAGCAGATTACCATTATTTCTACCATGCGAAAAATTATTTTCCTTTTGATTTTCGACATTCTCATTAACTTAGTAGTGCATATGGATTTAGAAAAAAAACCTTGTCCTCGTCAGAGTAGGTTATTCTCGACATACCAATGGACGAAAATCTAGCCGATCTGCAGAACACAGACAACGTTGCACTGTAGAATGAAAACCCAGGTAAGTTACGAGTCTTTCTGTATCTTCTCAATACGAGGATGGCAACAATCTACCCCTGTGTTGCACCTTTTAGAGTGTAAAAACAGGCTTCGGGAGTGGGTTGGTTTAGCCGACACAATCACTCTAACATGCGAATTCCACATCCAGTCCCAAGACGAAAGTAGCCGCAGACAACGTATGAGGTTATTTTCCCTTTCCCAAAACAATTGTTTGATCTTTCTTATGGTTGAATACCGATTCATATATAAACAGCGTAATATTTATTGTGATGTATTTGGCATGACTACGAATCACTGAAAACGAGCTTGTTCGCCACTCTTTGTTCTATTTGAAATGTGCTCTGTGGGACTGTTCAGACATTTAAAGCCAATGGGAGACAGCTTTGGTGCCGCTGTGACACCTGATGATCTGTAAATAGACGAATGTACATATGCTACAGTAGTTTGGCACACGCTCCTACATGGCAAGGGGACTAGGTCGTCATAGGAGAACAAGTAGGACAGAATACTGGTGCCTGAAGCTATCGCCTAGATCCGGATTCGCACGAGTCCGATGAGATCACCGGAAAAGCAAAGCCGAGGTTTAGAGTATTCAGTGATCGCAGTCGCAATCTAATACAATCACTTGAACTGTATAGATAGCGATGGTTAGGGCATGTGTTACGAATATGACGGGATGAGATTCCACGGTGTGTGATATTTGTCGAAAGGGTAAAAGTGGATGGAAGAAAACCACAGGTGGCTAAAGTAAAACCGGGCAGAATGATACGAGAATCCTGAAAAGAGGACCTGGACATATAGGACGAGTCAGGCGTTCTGGTTGGGAACTTTGGAGGTCAATGGAATCAAGGAATAGAGACACCGATCTCAGCACCAACTCGCTGGATTGCTGGGGCATCTGATACACATGTCATCATATAGATTTCCTTGGAGCAAGATGTTTGCTGAGGCAGTTAGTTAATGGATGGAAGAAGGTCTAAGGTCAGACCCGGCATGAGAGTGTGAAAACTATGATCAGGTAATCTAACACATAGTTCGCATTATGACTTCCAGTTAGGGGCTTCTGGACTAGCTGAGTGGATGGTAAGAGTTACTGAATGATACGACTGAATGTCTTGAACGGCAGTGCTGGTGCATCTACACAATTTCTGCGAAAACCTAATTATTGTATACTATATGTTTATTTTATTACTGCTCTTAGCTTATCAATTTTTCTATTTATTTCATCTGTGTATTTATTGATCGATCAAATACATCATCGAAAGACAGCATAAAAAACGGGTTTGAGAAAGTGCAAGGCCAATGTGTGGCAAAATGAAATTGAGATCATTTGAGAGACGATGAATTTGAATTTGCGCGCCACTTAGTGATGGTGACTGGATTTAGAGATATATTTGAAAGGGGGCGAGAGTTCATTGTGATCTTGAGAAGGGAAGAAATTTATCTGTTCACAGAAATCGATGCAAACAGTGCATTTTATTGGAACCAATTCAGTGTATTGAATGAATAGGAAAAGCGGTACCCTTCACGCCTCTATTGATCTGATCGATTCAGAAGATCATGGGTGATATTTTTTACAGATTGTGTTGGAGCGTTGTTTGAATCGATCATTTGTTTTACAGCATCAATTGCGTTTTTTATGATTGGTCCATTAATTGTGCCCGTCGAACAATCTGATTGGTTCAGGGTTATACATAAACGCCTGGGATCCCCTTCCCAAATGTGATTCGTGTCTAGTGGGCCAGAGAAAATATATTGAGAGCATTTCCTGAAGAACTGACTTTTGACAAAGATCAACATCGATCGGTTTTACTCGAAAAAAGAAACGGACGTGAGATCAGATTCCATGATGTGGTGGAGCACATAAACAAACCCCAACGCAAATAAAATACCGGTTAGAGGGAAGTTTAACTGTTTTTGGATATCTCCTACAGGTACATGTGTGTATATATATATATATCCAACCCACATGCAATAGCACTTTGTGTGCTCCCGATTCGAGAAGCCAAAGCAACACACTCAGTTACAATAAAAGACTCGTGTGGCATGTGATGTGGATGGCGGGAGTGGGTAACCCGGATATAGGCTATAACATAAAGGTGGTGCCCAACCCAGTTTGGGGTTCCATAAGGATTGGTGCGGAAGAAAAGGATTTAGTAAGATCGGAGCAATTAGTATTCCCTTCGATTTTGTTGCTTGGTTCTGTGATATGTTGATAGTTCAGACCATTATGTCAATGTGTTTAGGTTTGTGGTAGTGGTAGCACCGCTGAACTTCCTATGTTGTTGTACAAAACATCTCCCTTTATCTGGTCCACACTAGTTACTCAACTCCCAAGTGGGGCCCACAAAGATGCTTGCATGGGCCAACGACTACGTCCCGATAACCACTTGGTTAAACCACGGGAGGGCAGCTGGGTTCGGCGGTACCCCGTGAGTTGCAGGTACATCCATGTATAAGGAACAGTTACCAGAGACAAGTAAGACGAAATCATATCGTTAGTTTCACGACCGTAAGAACGGAAAAAATCCAAACAAATCATTGGAAAAAACCTGCTGCCCTGAGGGTCACGCCTAGATGTGTAACGAGTAGAGGTGCCGGTTCATCCTAACATAAAATATAACCAAAATGTTGTTATAAAAAATTGAGAAAGCAGCTGAAGTCAACAGCACAGGTTAGGGAGAACCCACCGACTCTACCGAGAAACCTAAAAGAATGCCCGCAAATGATCTCTGACGATCGGCCTGTGACGACAAGTGCCCACTTAGGGTTTTAGTAAACCGAAGAATGAACCCGGGCATATAATGCTCGGCAAGCGAACAAAAACTGCTGTTCAACAAATGCACTGAATACCCTTCAGGGCGTACGTTCCGAGCTTCTGTGAATAAACAGATCAAATTCGTCCAGGTAGCAGCAGTACAAATCGAATCATGCCTCATACTCACACTCTGACGGGGGGATATACTAGTGCCAAGCATAGTGGTCAAGCGTTTATTCACTTACGGTTAAAATCGTAGGTTCTTCGTGAGTTATCAGACAACGATGAAGCGCATTCCCCACTGAGGATCAAATGGGTTTTGGTCACTGATTTTTCAAAAGGGCCTAACCTTTTTGACACCACGTTGCGTCTGCTGGTTGATGTTGTCACATCACCCGGGTCCTGTAAAGCATTAACGGCACAGTATCGCGTGCAGTAAAATTCGAAGAAATCAGATTAAGAATCCGAACGGGCGTGATCTGGATTTGACCTTAGTCGGATGGAGGAAAATGAATTCCAATGAATTTGTATCGTTCATCTATTCAGATCAGTTCAGTTCTTTTAAGCACTGACATTGGACTGCACGATACCGTGAAATTTCATGCAAGAAATACCAAGTATAGAAACGCTTATTGTCCGACAATTTATATGAATCGCTTACCGGTTCAGTTTTGATCAATGCCTACAGCCAGTCGAAACCTAGATTCCTATAGAATAGAATCTCCAAAAAGTACCACACATTGAAACGGTGACTCAATATTGCGGAAAAAACCAATGACAGCATTAATTCACTTATGCTGATGGTTCAGTAATTCAGAATAAGGATTGGTAGTGTGCAACAGTGATGACAAATATAAAGAAAGTTACCAACGAAAAGTGAAGTGGAGACATACCTTTTAGGTGGGGTTGTGCTCCATCCAAGCACTCCGGACTCAGCTCGTTGTCCCCGAAAGAGCCCAGCAATTCGCTGACAAAAATGTCAGCCTTTTCCGGGACATCGAGTTCACGCATATCGCCGGCTATAAGATGAACGTCCAATCCACGCCATTCGTGTGTCATTCGATCCTGTCGGCGTGAGGGGGGGGGGAGGAGGAGGAGGAGGAGGAATGGAAATGGAGGTCCGATCACAAGCGAGGGCTAAGAAGACTGCTGTGAACGAACCACGCAGAATGTACCAAGCAGCAGTGGAACGGAGCGATTAGAACAGGCGTAATCGGAAGCGAAACAACAAAGAATTATGGGGGGGGGCGAAAAACAATATAACATGGCGTGGAAAACCGCGACCTGTTGCTGGACAGGTGAGTTATCTCCATAGAGAACACATTTATCGTATCCAGCATAATGTGGAAAAAATGCTAGACCCGAACAGGAAAATCACTGTTTTCTACTCGAAGAATCTAACGGCTCATGATTTGAAGTAGTAACGTCAAGTTGGGAAAATAACCCGCGATTGAAGCTATGAGCTGAA